GACAGTTAAATTCCAGTTTACTGTACTTGCCACTGTGCTGTATTTTTGATAGTGCCACAATTTTGCATAGTGCTGGCATGTCCCAGACACAGGAATAAATAGACGGTATTTTTCTATGCCAATGTTCTGGCTATGTGAAATGACAGAAGTGTGTAGTAGGCATTCTTTATATGTAGGAGAGCCTTGTATGTGCTGCAGTGCAGAATACTAGCAGCTATAGACATAAATGGGTAGGGTTAGTTGCATGGGAAATGTGCATTTTTATTTTTGTCTCAGCTGCTTCTTTAAAAGATGTCAAGGCATCATGATACAAGGACAACACAGTCTCTGAGCTAGAAGAACTATTTTTGAAAAGCTGCTGGTAGAGGAGGGGCTTCAGTCTCCTACATTGAACAGCTTGTACCATTATGTATGCTATCAGATTAATTTGTATTACCCAAATTGCTATAGCTATTTTTAGTGCCCAGGAAGTTTCTCTGTCCTTCTTCATAAACAAACCAACCCTGCCTAATACTAAAATACTTCTGCAGTCACTAACCAGCACATTCTGGATTCTCTTGCAGGGGAAAATCTGAAAACTCCTACCCTTCTCTTTCAGACACCCCTATACACAGAATATTAATCACAACTGTGTCATTCCATTTGTAATGTTTTGCTCTGAGGACATATAAAACTACATTCAAACAAAGCTCAGAAGATGAGCTCTAGGGATTCTTATGGTAAAAACAAGCCTTCAGCAGAATTAAAACAGTGATGCATCTTGCATTGCAACAAATGAAAACATTCCAGGACTACTGCTGAGAAAATGCATGAAACAGAATAAAATAGACCGTGAGTGACATAAAATTCTATTTAAAAATTGCCACACCATTTAAAACTGATTTTTTATTTTTGTTGTTGTAACGTACAGTAAACAGTGTTTTTTCTAGACCTATGCCTTTGGTTTCAGTGAGCACAGTTGGGGAACACTGTAAGGGTAAATGTCACACCATCTGGAACCTGCAAGGGACTTTGGCTCCACACTCAGATTGTTGTATAGTGTGTTTAAAATAAGTAAATAAATAAATCTTAGCAATGAATTGCTCATGATCTTTTTTCCCATTATATTGCTTTCATTTTATCCATTCCCCAAAGTCAGTCTAATTCAGGCACTAAAGCATGCAAGGTAAGTGAAAACTAAGATAAATATATGTATTATACTGATAATATATATTAAAAGCACCATTTGATGTTTTAATAATCTATGTAAAGTCTATTTCTAATATAGGGGAGAACTACTGATATTGTGCAGGTATAAACGCATCAGCTCTCATGGATTTAATGCTAATTTATAGCAATGATTAACCTAAACAATATATGTAAACACTGCCAGGCTTCTAATGCAAATCAAAGAACAATCAGATGTCATGCATTTCATTAAAAAAAAAAAAAAGTAATAATAAATTATCACTGCACACTACTCTGAGGTGTAGAAATAGATTAAAATCTTGAGGAAGGATGCTAATGAAGAATTCTTCTAGCAATGGAAGACTGCTGTTTAATGCTCAAGACCTTAGGGGTTCTTAAGTTTGTAATTCACCCAACAAGAACAGACTCCTCATACTAAGAGGCTTATTCTTTGTTTATATCCTTCTGGACAAAATAACTCTACTGAAATGTTGCATTATGAATGCTGCATGATGTCACTATGGTCTGTAAAAATAACATTAAACAAAAAAAAAGAGGGAGAGATCATTAGCTCATTTTCTTATTTTCCAAGACGATTTGGTGCTATACATATGCATATACATTTAGCTTCATGCTAAATAAAGAAGTATATTTAGTGCATCTCAAATAAACCACTGTAAAACTAACACAAACAAAATTTGCACATTTCCAGCTCTCCTTAAAAATTTTCATAATTATTAATATTATAGAGAGAATTGTCACCAGGTCCTAAATAGCCAAGACATCTCTGCTTTGCATATGAGGAAACTAATATGAAGAACTCAAGATTCGTCATTCCAAACTTTATTCCTACTTCATGATTTCTTCATTTCAGAGCTCAGCTCAAGGCACTCCGATCACTGCAAAAAGCTGCGGGCCACTCAGAGCTCCCTTTGGAGTTAATGGGAGATGGACCTACTCAGTAAGCCAGCGATTTGTGTCTCAAATTCTGCACCCTAACTTAAAAGCTGACTCAGTAAGAAGACCAATTTTCTATTTAAAATTCTTCAGTAAAAAGTCTTTCCACTTTCTGAATTTGTCTTTTATGTGAAATAGACTATTCTGCCTGTTGCATGCGGGTGTAAACTTTCTTGGAGATACTTTATAAACCAGCTCCCAGAAGAACTTGCACAAGGCAAAATTCTGATTTCAGATATGTTAAAATTCCATAGCTAATTTTATTTCTACCTTTTGGAAAAAAAAAAAAAAGAAAAAAAGAAAGTAAAAGAAAAATAGCTAAATGTCATGGGAAGTTACACATTATCTGTACACGTCTTTATTAAACTTCCAATATATACTTTGAATATCCCATTCTATTATTTCCTCCAGTGTCTTTCCACTTATTATTAGAATGAAGACAGAGATATTGAAAGGCTAAAAAGGTACAGTTGCGTCCCTTCCCTATTGCCAACAGCCTTAGAGTTGATATAGCTTTTCTCTAGATTTCTCTTCCACCGATGTCATTCTTTTAGAAGTTCAACGTAAAGGAAAATGTGGTGCCCAGCTATTTGATGGAGGAGGACAGAGGGCAGGCTTCATGTGTTGCTGCATGTTGCATGAAAAAGCAGGAGTAATATTTACCAAGTCCTAGATAAAAGTGAATTTAAACAAAGCTCTGATAGTTAACCAATTTGAGAGCAAATGAGTCGTTGCACATTGAGGCTGTTGTTGATGATGGTGCATTGTGTTTGTGATAGTGTCTCCCTCAGCGCTTTTGATTGCTATTAATGCAGTCATGGAAATATTTTCAAGAATTGCTTCACATGGCCCTAGCAGGGAAAAGAGAAAGGGGGAAAAAGTCTGCAAAATAGCAGAACATCCTGCTGCAGTAGAGTCAACTCCGAAATTTGGCTACTGTAGTTTGGTTACAGAGCAGGATGTGTTCAACTGTTTTTTATTCTTATGCAGATTATTCTGCATAAGATGGGCTGAGGTCAACTGTATGAAGTTCAACAAGGCCAAGTGCCGGGTCCTGCACCTGGGGCGCAATAACCCCAAGCAGAACTACAGGCTGGGAGAGGAATGGTTGGAGAGCTGCCAGGCAGAGAAGGACCTGGGAGTGATGGTGGACAGTCGGCTGAATATGAGCCAGCAGTGTGCTCAGGTGGCCAAGAAGGCCAACGGCATCCTGGCTTGTATCAGAAACACTGTGACCAGCAGGGCTAGGGAGGTGATCGTCCCCCTGTACTCGGCTCTGGTGAGGCCGCACCTCGAGTACTGTGTTCAGTTTTGGGCCCCTCGCTACAAGAAGGACATCGAGGTGCTTGAGCGGGTCCAAAGAAGGGCGACGAAGCTGGTGAGGGGCCTGGAGAGCAAGTCCTACTGAGGAGCGACTGAAGGAGCTGGGCTTGTTCAGCCTAGAGAAGAGGAGGCTCAGGGGTGACCTTATTGCTCTGTATAAGTACATTAAGGGAGGCTGTAGAGAGGTGGGGGTTGGCCTGTTCTCCCATGTGCCTGGTGACAGGACGAGGGGGAATGGGCTAAAGTTGTGCCAGTGGAGTTTTAGGTTAGGATATTAGGAAGAACTTCTTTACTGAAAGGGCTTGTGAGGCACTGGAACGGGCTGCCCAGGGAGGTGGTGGAGTCACCTTCCCTGGAAGTCTTCAAAAGACGTTTAGATGTAGAGCTTAGGGATATGGTTTAGTGGGTACTCTTAGTGTTAGGTCAGAGGTTGGACTCGATGATCTTGAGGTCTCTTCCAACCTAGAAATTCTGTGATTCTGTGATTCTGTGATTGATTCATCTTATTTGTCAGATAGTAAAATAGAGATAAAGTGCTGAGACTGAAGCAGAGGCTGTAATGCTCTTGGTAAGCTCTGCTTACCAAGCATCATCATCTCTGAAGACGTTTTCTTCTTTCCTTTTTGATTTGAATGAGAGCTAAGAGATGTTTTTGTGTTTCAAACCAAACAGGAAGATCCATATAGCTGTACAGAAAATGTGCTTCACCTCTTGTCCAACTCTAGAATACGTGCTTTTATGCAGCTAGTCTCTCAGTGACTCCAGGAGGTGGTCTTCTATTTAGCACTAATGAGGTCTGGAGGAGGAAACCTCTGAAAGCATTTCCTACTCTGCCATCAATTCCCTATTGTCTACAGGTAGATCACTCAGGGCATGGCTGCAACAGTAGCCAAGTATAGCACAGAGATTCCAAGATCTTACATTCATATTGCACTGCTTAGTTAGGAGCCAAAAATCATGAAATCTGAAAGGAATCTGGCCACATCTGACATTGCTATGACAGGCCTTGTAAATTCAGTCTTTCATCGTTACAGCTTATTTGTTCAGAGGCTGTGCTGGAAGTACTGTTTCTGGTTCTCAAGCAGCCATGAACATTGCTACCTCAAGGAGGTATGTTTCACACTTCATTGCACAGTACAGACATGCCAGCAGTCTGCCTGAGCCTTGAAATCCTACCTGTAAAGCGAGGACAATGGTTTGACCTATAAACTGTAAAGATGCAGCAAGTAATATATTTTGACAGTATTGTAAAGCTTCCCTAGAGCTCAATATACTGATGAGGGCCAGATGAATAATGCCGATGTTTGAGAACTGATGCAAAACTGCACAGAGTCATAAATTTGATTCCTTAGAGCCAGTGGATACTTTTGAAAGCATCACAGATTTTGCCAAATTCTAAGATGAATTAAGGGCAGCACCGGTGTCAGGGCTGGGAGGATACTCACAAGCATTAATGTCCCAGATCAGCCTCACCTGGAAGCCCTATCTGCCCCCCTCCCACCTTCTCGCTGCCCATAGGCCCATGGGCTCTATTTCAGCTCAGGCATGGGGCTTTACTTCTTTTTTTGAGCTGTGCTATGCAGGTGTATACCTTCAGCCCTGTCTGGGTCATTGAGCCTTACACCACAGCTTTATCTCCTGTGGCTTTTGTAAGGGCTGGGCATGCCTGGGGTTGTTGCAGGTCTTGTCTCTAACTCAGCTCCTGTGGGTTAATGCCCCTTGGTATTCCCACAGCTTATGGAGGCACCTCCTTGGACCCTGCTTGAATCCTCCCAGCTTTTGATGAGCTGCTAGCCCTTGCTGCTCCTTACCAAGTAATGCTAGGTTCAAGAGATCCACCCTATCTGATGCCATGCACAATTATTCAGCTGGCTGCCTCCACCCACTTTCAAAGAGAATTGGCTGGGCTGCTTTCTCTGGATCACTGAACGGTTGAGAAATGAGTTAACACCAAAGACCCTGAGAGAGGTAAGACATCGAAGGCTTGTAATGCTCAGGTCTTGATGGTACTGAATTAGAAATAACAATTATTCATGCTCTTAATCTTATGACAAGCCAAGATTGTTCCTTTGGAGGGGGAATTTGTGATTTTGACCACGTGATGGGGAAGACAGAAACAGCCTTCCGACTTTAGACACAAGTAGGTATTTCACCAAATGTAGTAGATGTTGAATTATGAGGATTCTGGAGGACAGAAAGTTAACATTAGCCTGTTTGGAGCACATGGAGACAAAGCACATGCAACTTCCATTTTAGCAGCATGCTTGCAATGGTACTGCTGAATGCTGAACTGGACTGACTCTCCTGCTGTGCTGTAAATATGTAGCACATACAATGGATTTTACATCTTCAAGGTGCTTTTGGGATGTAAATTAACCAGTGGCATTTTGATAATAAGAAAGAAAAAGAGACAGAGATTAAAAAGATCAGAATTATATCAGCAGCAGTGAATAAATGTTCTACCTGTTTTTCTGATACAGTCTCAAAGACAGCAAAGAACCAGGTAAAATATAGCACTGATAAGAAAAGTCTGTCAGTCTTTAGGTTAGTTTGGGATGATAGCATCTGGAGGAAGGAAAGTGAGAAGGAAATCTAACATAATTTCTACCATGCTTTGATAGTGTATTTTCTGAAAAAGAAGAAAGATTTTTTAAATTGGTAAAAGTACTGGGAATTTAATTCTTGGAGACAGAAAATCTCCAGTTATCCACAGAAAAATGTGATGTAGTTGCACTACAAATTACTAACAATTAATTCTACTTTGTATATCACTTTTCAGATAAAGGCACATTGCTTATTTTCTGTTCGCGAAACTACCAGTGATAGTGGTTTGATATTATATCAAGAGTGTCTAAATGTTTTACGTAGTTCATCAGACTTCTTTAAAATGGTGCCTGATTTTTGACTTAATCTAGTCTGAATTCCAAATCCATAACCAGGTGGTACATTTTTCTATGTATTTGTGATTTTGTGGTGTTACTGGTGGGAGAAGATAACAGAGTTAGTGGGGAGTATTTGTTTGCTTGTTTACCCACACCATGGATATGACTTTTCCTAGTGATTATTCCTTCTGTTATAGGGGAATTACCTGCATTTGTGTACACAAACTTTTCAATAAGTTAAAATTTATGTCAAAAGCAGAGATTTGCACCTGCCTCTTTTGTACAAAGAAACAGTTTCTTGACAGGTTCTACAAACTATTGGTCTGATGGATGAAGTTAAACCATAATAATTGCTCCATTGATTTTAAATAGAGCACACCCTGATGATTTAATGGAGACCCATCGCCATAAACTCCTATGACTCCTACTGTTGCTTCTTTCTATGCCTGAGCTCTTATTTGCTTTGTCACTAAAACTAGACAGAATATTGTACAAAGCTGCCACAAAGCTCACTCTTCCTATCAGACATCTCAGTTTCTCCATCTGGTATTTTATGTCAATTAACAAATTAGAGCATGAGTGACAGATGTAGAAATAATAATTAGACTTTACTTCCTCCCCTCTCTGGAAGGGCTCAGTTTGTAATGAAGTGCATAAACTTTACAAGTGCATTGAACATGTTAGGTAATCCTTATGGTTTCTCTACAAGGTATCAATTCCTCCTTATTTACTCATTTTGCACATCAAGAGATTGATGGGAATTAGGTGTTTCTGTCTTAAAGCCTCATACAAGATGAGGTTGTGATATCTATTCTGTAGTGGCATGCTTATACACTGAGGGCTTTTTGCTGCCCATGCTAAACTCAAAAGCCAAACTTCCAGGACAGGGTTAGTGGCATTAAAATATAATGTTGACCCCAAAACATATAATCCTTACTATTTCAAGAGTTTCGCCGTGTTTCTCTGTGTTGTTTCTTCTTTGCTAGTCCTCTACTTTGGTTAACTCTGTTTCTAAAGTTGTATCTTCTGGATTGCTTTGGAAGAGAAATGTCTTGAACATTGCTGAGTTTAGCATGTTTTATAGGACATATTTTCTGTTGCGGTAGTCACTTCATCTTAACTCTTCTTCAAAGGCAGCAATCTCATCTACCAAATGAGGAAGTGAGTTCTCTGAAAATCTGTAGAGGTATATGCATCTTCTCTGAAGAAATATAAAAATTGGACTGCACTGGCAAGATAACCAGGAGGATTAAATGTGTACCAGCTTACTGTTTCACAGAAGAACTTCAGACTTGGTCTCTAGCCTTCCCTCAAACCATCTTCTCCAGGATACCTCGTCCAGACAAAAAAGAAAAGTTTTCCTATTTCCTTTCACAAGCTATGTGCAGGGAACTGAAAGATGTCTAGAGAGGTGACTACCACAAAGAAAGACATGCTTTCAGCCTTCTCTGAGATGCCCCCAGTCCTTGTCACTGTCTGGTTTCCCTGTCAGACAGATTTAGTGCACTGAACTTATAACTCCTGGTAAAGAGACTAGACATAAACCTTCCAGTTTGTTGCATGATGGAATTACTCTGCTGTAAACGAGCAATGAATAAATGTACTAAAGGAAAGCATCACTTTTTGTGGGTTCACATAGTATACAATAAAAATATATAGTCCCCCAGTTATAAAATCTATCAAAGTTTTTCAACAGTCCCATATTTTTTACATGCCTTCACAACTGCGAGCAGCTGCCTCTACATATGTTCCTTGATTTTATGCCCACATTACAATGGCATCGAAGCACTTCTAGCTGTGCAGGCACATTTTTTATCCACCCCCAGCCTTCTGTTGCTGGGACAGTAAATGCATTTGATGGAAGAGGAATGGGGGCATGAGGGTAATATAGAGTATGTGGCACAAAGCCTCTAATAGAGGTTGACAGAATTAAATCATGGATATTTCCTACCCAAACTGTGGTGCAGTGTCCTGTGTTAAGCATTCAGTCAAATATATTTACTCTGGTAGGCCTGTTTTATAAGAAGCCTTGTTTACCTTTCATGATTGGGGTACAATTTTATGTAGTGGCTATAGTATAAAAATCTCAAAATACTTAAATGACTTTTCTATGATGGCCAATTTTCTCATAGCTGAAGCATAGGCATCCCCAGAGAAGAACACAACAGATGCATTTTAGCGGAGTATTGGGGGATCCAGGGGTATCCTTTTACAACACTGAGGAATTTGGGGACCCTTTGGTGGCATATAGTGCTCTCCTTACAGTGGAAGAGTGGAAACAGTGTTCTTCAGATCTCATTCATGCAGGTTTTTAGTAAACAGACTCAATAATGCCTGGAGTGGTTCCTTCAAATTGCTGTGTAAAGAACAAAAGTTGCAACAGCTTAGAACTAGAAGCAAAGGCATTCAATCAACTGCAGGAGAGACTGGTGGGCAGAATGCAAATTTTAGTGGAATTTAATTTGTGCAATCTAGGAACATCCTCCTCATTTTTAAGGAAAAGTTTCAAGTAGCCTGTGTAGTTTAACAGGCGGGGTTGATATACAAATTCAAAAATACAACTAAAAATTATTCTGCCTCAATCTTCTTAATGTCTTCAAATTTCCTATTAACTGTTCATACTCAATTTGTAAACATTGAAATTTAAGGAGAACAAGTATGCAATGCTGTACCTAAAACAAATTTCTGACAAAGGGAAGTCTTGATTTTAGAAAATAGTCAGGGTATTTGTTTAATGTGTTATATAAATTGAACTGAAATTATAGCCAGCTTTTATAATTACTTTTTTTTGGATGTTTCCAAATCACTGCATTTCTAGACGTTAGACTAAATACACAAATTAATACTTCTGGACCACTATAAATGCTAAACACCTGGCCACTCATGACTCTACACTACAAACTCCATTAGGAGCATAAGGATTTTTTCTGCCCGTGTACTCCATGATGGCAAACTCAAGGCTTTGTCTAGTTTCATTTTAAACAACTGAAGTAATGAAATTTTACAAACCTCTTCTTAGAGATAGCCATAGCCTAGTAGATATCTCTGATAGGAAATAAGTCCCAAAGTCCAGCTAAAACTATAGCTCCCATCTGTTGACAACACCAGAAAAGGAAGGGGAGAGTTTATCTGTCTCAGTATCAGTTGAGTAGACATCTTCTCTTGCACTTTTATAGTTTTTCTATTGCAGCATTTGCTCCACCAACAGAATAGTCTCTGCCTATACAGTGAACATACACCCATTTTGTTCTCATCAAGCAGGTTTTGGTTAGCTTAACCAGATGCACAGACTAATGAGTTGGGGCAGATCATGGCTCAATAGATCCCACATGATACAGGGAGTTTGAACCATTGGGGGGGTTTATATTCACCAGTGCCAGGAGAGCAGATATCCACAGATTTTGTTGTTCTGCTGAGATGGGTTCCCTTGTGAATTCTGCATCAGCAAAAGACTGAGTTTAGGAGTGAGGAATATCAGCACTTTGATCCTGCTCTGCCTTCCTTTGCTTCTCTTTGTCTATAGATGGAATATAGCAAAAACTCGTGTGAATGATGTTGGTGACATCTAGACAAATTACATCTTGTCATTGAGTTTCCATGGATAGAAACATAGTGGGTGGGACAGAGCATCTACAGCAGCAGATTCTGCTGTAAGCCAAAGAAATTTTCTGCTAGTGTTCCGTAGCTGAGTGTTTGTCTCTTTATGCCACTGCAGTAATAGAAAATGGCTATACCCCAGCACAGGTCAGTCACGGCTGTCCCCTGAAGGAGTGCATTTTTTGTCTGATGCTCTTTCAAGGTGCCTTCCAAACCCTAACATTCTGTGATTCTGTGAATTCCCCCATAGGGAATCCCTGTTTAAGGCTTTAATCTTGCAAACACATTCAGATGTCTTTGCCAATTTTTGCTATGTGTATACCTTAAAAGAAGTTAAGGATAAAAGGAATTAAGGGAAGGAAAAAAAAAAAAAGTGGTAGCACAAGAATCCTATTTAAGTTGCTACTATTGAATCTCATCTCATGAGCTAAATAGTACAGTATTTAAAGCAGTATTTACAATGCATTACAGACAAAGTTAATTACTGGTGAATGTGAGCTAGATGATGCTCTTTCTCAGAGAAGCTAGTCCAGGATCAGGCCAGAACAATAAATCCTTCAGCAACCTCATTTATTAATTATCTTCATAATCCTCTTGCTTGTAATGATTGTCTAATTTATTACTACCAAAGAGGAAAACAATATGAGGTAAAATGACTAAGGCAGTGAAGTGAGCTGCGTACAGGGTTCAGGTGTGTAGAAAAGTATTTTTGTGTATTGACCGGTGCTAGGATGGTCAAGACCAGAGCAGAATCTGTCAGAAGGTAGAGGCTGCTGCTTACAGAGCTGTGTACTGGACAAGACTGTGAGTAGCCGCTATGCAACAGGCCTTTGTGACCTTGGGAGGCCTTCCTACTACGATTAAAATAATGGATTTCTCAGCCACACTCATATTAAAAAAAAAAAAAAAATAAATTGAAGGCTTTCAGGAGAAACTGATAAGCTATATGACTACCAGACAAACTGATAGAAACTAGTTTAAATATATAATAACTTGTCCCATAATTAAATATGGTATATTGGCTTTCAAAAACCAAATCAAAGTCAGCGTACAGGTATTTCTGTATTCTCTGAAAGAGATCTTGGCTGTGGGCAAGGAAGAATCACACGGTATACTGATTTGTCTGGTTTACTGGACTCTTGAAAGAAATTGAACATGTTTCTTTATCAGAGATTCTGAAATTAACCAGCCATAGGTAAAATTAAAGGTCACACAATGAATTGTTTAAGCAATAGGATATAACAGGGAGGAATGGGCAGTGTTCCTAGAGGAAGGAGCTCACCCAGTGGAGCCCTTGCCATCCCTGGTACTCCTTGGCAATTACAATATAATTCTCCCCAAAGAGAGAAGGCAGGCTTTGTCTCAGAGACCTTCCAAGTCTGATGTTGAGCCTATATCGTGCAAGACAGTTGCCTGAGCTAGCTTTAAGTGAACCAAACTGTACATGGAGAATATTACAGTCTCATACAGATGCTATCTTTGATTGTGAAAGCAGTTTGACTGCATTAATGTGACATTTTAAGTAGGCCAGTCAGTTCTGCTTTTCAGCTGAATGTTACTTACCAAGGTGCAATGCCATGGTGTGTTGGTTATATAGCTTTAGATGGTCTGTGCTAGCCACAGGATTCCTGTACCAATTTCCTCTACATGTGAATCATGTAAATTTGGTGAGCAGAAGGCCAAGACTTCCACCTCTGGAAACTTGGGACCCACAAGATTGTATTTAAATCTCTGTAAAAATTTAAAATGAAAAGGAAGCGCTGGACAAATTAGGAAGAAAATTACAAAGCAACTAAGAAATATCCCTGGTAAGGTGTTTTTGAGTCACACACATCAATCACTTGAACAAACCAGGGAGTTGGTTTCTTATCAGTCACTGCTCCTCAGCCCTGGTCACCCCAGGCACATGCTGTAGCTGTCAGTCACACTCCTGGGGAAAGCTTTCAGGTGGTGAGAGATGCCTGCAAATGAGAGGCTGAGAGGGACCTGCTGGTCACAGATGGTATTTGGACAGTGCTTGACGAAGGGGTAAAAGTGGGAACAGATAGAAATGGAATTAAAATTATTTTTACAGGTCTGGGAGCTGAATGACTGAATCTTTCCCTGAGCTGTGCAGACATACCGGGGCAATAAAATATATTTTCTAGCCATGACGTACTAGAATTGAATCATCAACAGTGAAAGCTATTTTATTCTTTTCTACTTTCTCAACCCCATAAAATTATTACCCTTTTGCACTGTCAGATATTAAAATCATATTAACGATCAGGAACTGTATTAAACTGTCTGAAAGTGAAATAATATGGTAGCACATTTGAAGGTTAGAGACAGCCCTTGGGTGTAATTTACTAAACCGTAATCTACCTGCCTGGTACTCTACAGATAAAGCAGGAGGTATTGTTTCTGGGAAACTAATTACCACTAAGATATATGCTCCCCTGTCCCCAAACATACACACAAACAATATCCTGTACAGGCTGCTGTTGAAGCTAGACAGCTGGAATAGGGTCGTCATCCAAGCACAAACCAGCCTGACAGACAACTTTGTTCATTACACCATCACAGTTGTCTTTAGCACAGCAATAAGGAGGAGTATGTTGCTCCTACTACAAGCAAAGGTATACAACAGGGAAAAAAAACACACCATTGTCTAATGATCAAAGCAAGAACCAAAGATACAGCCTGTTGCCACAGTAAAACAGACAGTTACAAGGAGTAGATTAGGTGACTTTTATTTGAGAGGTGACTGAACTCCCCATCAGTTCCCCCCTTCCCCAGAGGAGTTATTTTACCAGTGGGAACAAGAATAGCAGCCATTTCTCACTCTCTGTTCCATAGAAGATATTTCTGTGCCCCTTCTTGTACATTAATGAAACAAGTATAATTACTTCTTATGCTTAGTCTTCTCTAAAGTACAAGTGAGCTCTTAATCCAGAGTCTAAAGAAATTATCATTCAATTGGACTCTCATGGAAAGGCTGTACTGTGATAGGCATGTCATAAATCATGTAGAAAGGTGG